TTAGCTAGTCTTTTTTCTTTTCTGCTGCAATAGCTTCCAAAATTGGGCTTATCGTTTTTTATCGTCGTTTTGATAAACATTTTTTTTTTTTTTATAATCGAAAAATCAAGCTATAAAAAAAGCCACTTTATGTTTTTGTCCCTTTTTCTTGCGTATTCACACTCATATAAGACGAACATTTTTTTTTTTTCTTTTTTGATCGATCATCTTTAAAATTGTGTTCATTTTATATTTAATGTCTCGATATTTAATTGTTTCTTCATCGTCCGATTTGGGAGCGCTTTGCTTAACTTTTTTTGTAAGAACAGATTAATTAGTAATTTTGTCGTTTTACGTTGAGCATTGTCTATTAATATACGCGTACAAGAATACAATAGCACACAAGGCGCTTAACAGAATAAAAATAAAACAAAAAGCTTCGCACGTTTATATGGGCCATCGTCAGGTACATTTGCCAACCCCTCGCAAAACTGTTTGCCTTACATTCGTGCAAAGGTATACTACACCTCACGATTCTTGCATGCTTCGAGTAAAAAGTTGACCAAGTATTAACACTTTCTTTAATGTTTGCCTTCACACGATGCTTTTTGTGTCTGTGCAATTTTGTATCGTGCAAGCACACTATCGACATACACCGCGTCGTTACGACGTTCTTAAATTTTTAAACAAGGCTATATTATAAGTGTGCACTTTTTTTTTTTCTTTTCCTTTTTTAGGATGAATGTCGTTGCATCAGATAATAATTTCTTTTTTCTTTTTTTTTTTGTGTAGGGTTTAACACATCCCTTCGATAGCGAACAAACAATGATTTTTAAGTAATTCATTGAAACAAGTAGTTTATCGATTCGTATTTGACCGGTAAACGAAAACTCATAACGATTTGAAAAATCATTTTCAATTCGACAAACGAATTGAATCTGTTTACCGGGCAAATGCACAAGGATCGAATAGAAAATACGTAGGATTGTTATTTCTTAGATGTAAAGAAAGTGATAGAGGTTTAAATTGGGATATACGTAAAAAAAAAAAATTCAACTATTCTATATCAACTTTTCCAGACGAATTGGGCATCAACAAGGACAGATACAAATCACTCGCCGACGAGATGGACTCCACATTCGCCGAATTGGCAGGATATTAAGTTACTTTGTCCTTTTATGCTTCCTATATTAATTACATGTCATGCGTGGGGATGGAACTAAAATGTTTCGCATAAAGGACTCTAAAACACGACCAATCGTTGCACGACAAATCAGCGAAAGAGGTATAGGCTGAGGATAAATCGTCGAAAATCGGATATCATTCGTCTAATTATAGGACGTTACCGCGACGAAGATGGTCAATGTATGGAGATCCGTAAGGAATTTTACTCTGTTACACTGTTGTACGAAATATTACACAAGACCCAATAAACTGCTGTAATGTGGTATGCGTTACTAATTACAAGGGCTTTCAATAGATTTTTTTTTTTTATTGCAAAATTATTTTTACCTTTAGCAGGATTTCTCCGTTTCTTCTATCTCTATCTTTCTGTCTTTTTTTTATCTCTCTTTCTGTGTGCGGAAAATATCATCGTCGTCTATCTGTGGAAAGAAACGGTGAGTATAAAAAAAATTAAATAATTATGAAATACAAATAGAAATAAAAATATATACGATAAGAAATAAACGATAAGAAAAGAAAATGTATAATATCTTATAGAGGCACAGTTATATGAGATATTTATTAATTACCAAGGTACTTATTAAATGTACACTGAATGTATAAATGTACACCGAATGGCATATCAATTCAGGAGTGCTGCTCTTGTACTATATCTTCGAAAGTCATGATTAATTATATGCACGTTTCCTCTTATCTACTATTTACATTTGATAATATCTTAGAAACGTTATAATTGTGCATAATTTTTATACAATATTAGTCTATTTCAACGATCCACAAATATTTCGGACCATTTCATTTTGATGAATGTACCTATTTAGACACATATGACACGCCAGATATCTAACTCAAGTTAAAACTCAAGCATGCAAAACGAAAATATAAAATCTCGCCTGTAAAATATGAATTTACAAAACAGGAAAGATAAAAAAATAGCACACATACATTCAGGTAATTATCATTATTGTATATAAATATATATGTATATATATATATATATATATATATATATATACATACACACACATATATATATACATATGTATATATATATATATACCAAAAAACTATAACAGTCAAAAACAACGAATACGAACAATTCAGACATTCGGCAAAAAAATCTTTCCCGTTCATCACATTTATGACATACTCCTCATTACTTCATCGATAGAATGAGAGAATTCAAATTATTTCGTGATATACACTTTAAAATAAGCACTCGAACATTCTTTTTTTTTTTATATATCCATTAGTAGAGGATTGAATAAAATATCTTTTACAACAAACGGCATTTAAACTCTTAACATTTGACTAACAAAGGATAGTATGCTTTTGTAAAAATTTACGATTCGAATGACCGGTTAAAATTGTTTAATTAATAACAATATAAACGATGTATCGATGATCTGAATCTAAGATCAGAATAAACATTCTGCAGGTTCTAATAATGCCCTTGCTCTAAAAGAATTTTTTTGATTCATAGCATGCATTTGGCGAATACATTAACAATAAAATAAATATAAATTGTACGAAATTGTTTAAATTTGTACATAATACGGATTAAAAAAAAAAAATATTTCAACATCTCGAATGATTAATCAGTTCAATTTTTCAATTCACTTTTCAATTTACTTAACGACAACCTCATTGTAGTCTTTGTTTCATTTCGATTTTCCCTTTCTAACATTAATAAATTAATGTTACAAAGGTTTTGGCAACGCGTTGTTCGAGTGTCGCAAAAACGAGCATAGAAAATGCTTAATACATACGGTGCCAACTGGCGCCGATTGAAATACTTTCTCGTTTAATCGACAGTCATTCCTTTTTCTAATACAATAAATAACTGTACTGCAAAAACTATAAAAACTACGACGGTATTTATCTAATATACAATCTTCATTATACAAAACATTAGACTATTTGGTGTATTAATTGCACGCAACATCATGACCGCTCTGTGACATTTTATGATCAAACGAATAATATGAAAAAAAAAAAAAAAATGTTTCTAATGCCTCGATAATACATTCACACGATACGAATCGAATATATCGATGTAATTTTCGCGGTACTTAACTCGAAAAGGATGAAAAGACATGACAGGTACGTGCTGTATTTGTGAAACGAAATATCGATTTTCACTCGAATTAAATTCAACTCCAATGCATCGTGAGACGAACAGATAGATGAAACATTGACGCGTATAAAAAAAAAATTCATAAAGAAAGTTATGATATAGAATATATCAAAAAAATTAAAATTATTTCTTTTTTGACATTTTCGATCTTTTTAACGTTGACGTATCAATGTTATTTATACTCGATCCAACTTAATAATACTTAAAAAATACTCTGTACATGTGAATAAAAAAAAAAAAAATTGCATTAAATGCATTCTATTACCGCGTGTCAAATATTTCTGAAAATTTCTCTTATGAAAATTTGTGGAAACAAGTTCAACGTTTCCAATGTAAAATAATAATAATTATTATTATTATAAAATAATAATAAAGGAATATGCCGATGATCATATAGGATATAAATTACCAAATGATTCTTTCGCTCACTCTTACATTAATTATATCGCATACGAAAATATCAATAAATATAATAGGTGTCTTCGGTTCAGGCAGATGAACCTACGCTAAATTCTTCGCGAAATATCAAGAATATATCTATGTTACAAGGCAATGTGATGCACAAAATCTTCAAACGACCCGACTCCACCCAATTACCTTAAAAAATCAACATAATTTTTTATATTTACGACGTAAGAAATCAAATATATATTTATAATATAAATATACATATATGTAGGTGTATATATATATATATAAATTTATATATGTATATATATATATATATATATGTCGAGTCTACATAACATAAATAAATGCACTGTAGACCACATTTAGTGTTCCCCAGAAAAATGATAAATATTCTATATTATATGATAATATAATATAGAATATCTATATTATACAATCTATGTGCATTATTACACATATATTATTATATATTATACATTATTTATGTAAAAATAACGAATATTAGAAACATGTAAAAAGATTTTAGAAACATGTAAAAATATAAGATATATAAGAAAATAAACTGATCTAGTGAACAATGAAGAACATATAAACAATATATTACGTCTTATTGTGATACATAAAATTTTGTTTTTACACATATTTTCATAATCTAATTGAAAATATGCAATTGAAAAATTAAGACGAAATTTCAATCATATCTCTAGATAAAAGATAAAAGATAACTTTTTTTCCTTTTTTATCAAGAAAATTAGTATTTACAAAATTCTTCTGGGGTTTTACTTGTTTTTTTATATATGTGTATGTATATATATATACACACATATATAGATACATATATATATATATATATA